TTTTCCGAGATTCTATGAAAAAAAAAGAAGGAGAATGCAATGCGAGCGAGATCACCAAGTGGAAATGCATTTTAAACTATGGAGAACTTCACTGTACGCGCACGAGACTAGCACAACTCGCTAAGTGACAGAACCGCGATTGCCTAATGCTTCCTCAACTTTGTGCTCTTGCAGTATTTTTGATCATGTCCTAATCGGTTGAACAATGCTTCGCTATGTCTAAGAATTGTTTGATTTTGTATTGATACTAAAAATATTTAATCATGCGACATCTGCCCCAAAAAAAATTCTATAAAGTTTTGTGATACTTGTGGATCTAATGGTAAAAGCAAGGAATTATTTGACGATCTTATAGAACAGTTCGGTATTAAACTCAAACATTTGTTGAATTCACATCATCTTCGATGAATTGCTAAATATTTGTTTGAAAACAAAATTGACAAGTTATTTAAGACGTACTAATTAATTCATATAATATTTAGACACTAACAATTCTAATTTATTTATTACACTTTAACTTTTCATTACAATACTGTAAACTAAACTGTCTATATACAACTGACTTCCGCGACACTCGCGATATTTATATCAAGCCAACTCTGTAACCAGATTACTCGAGACGGTGTGGAATATCCTAGACTTCCATCTCTATGACTCAACGTCACATACCTACCGCTTGTTCTGGTATATTCGAGAGGCGTCTGATTGTCTCTATATTGTCAGCGAGCCGCCAGACTCCATACCGCAGGAGTAAACAACAGACAAGGTAGGTTTTCGCGCGACATTATATAATCTTGTTGATTTATTACTATGTATTTCAGATCTTTTAGGAACTATTTCACCTTCACTACCTGTCATAGCTTAAATATGCCATTATAATATTTTTTCTACGTTATCGAGTACTCTGCTTTGGTCTCGACGTTAATAATTCTACTAAAACTGGCACTAAATATGCTTCAAATATGTAAATTGCCTAAAACATTCGTATGTGTTTTTCGAAGGACAATTCAATGCCAATGAGAAAATACCTCTCAAGACGCTTTAACGGTGGCATAAGGGGGTAAATCATTATATTTTTAAACCTTAGATAATTTACTTCAATCTCGATTTTTCAGTAAAAAAAATCTATACATATTGTTAAGCTCAGTACTCTTATCAGTACAAATTTTACTCACTTATCAAGTTTCTTTATTTATTTACATTTACTTTAACATAATATAATAATAAAATTTAATATTATTTAATTTTTTGTGTGCCATCCACTACTACGGTTATTGGCCTCGTGTTCTTTGTAGGCTTTGTTAATGTTTCTCAGCGACACTTTAGGTACAGCATTATTAATTAGAACACAACAGTGAATGGTCGAGTGGTGAATCCTGCCTATGCATTAGGATTAATTTTTTATTAGCTAAATTAAATGAAAATCCCTTATATCCGAAAGTCGAGACTCTAACCACTGAGTCAACCGACCACCCACCTCCTTATTATATATATAATTGTCTTTTTAATTTTTCTTTTATTTGGTGTAATCGGCATCAACTACTTAGATTATTAGCATCGTGTTCTGTATAGGTTTGGCGGTGTTTCCCAGCGCCACTTTAGGAAAATCACTGATCATTAGAACCCAATAGTGTTTTGTTTTTTTTTCGGTGCTCAAGCAAAATATTAATCTACATATCGCCGTTCCGGTAAAACAATGACGCAAGTGTAAAATTGTGACATTTTGATTTTGACATGTCATTAGTTTCCAAATTAGTCTCTCTATACGGTATAACAACGGCGAAATTTTATATTCACTCCCAGCCATCTAGATGGTAGTTACGTCAGTTTTCAAATATTAATGTTTTCCCCTCCACTTTTGAAAAACAATAACATATGAACAGTTGTGTCTGCAAATTTAAGGAAGACATTACTTACTCCATGGTTAAATGTCGTATTTGATATTTAGAACAAGTTTTTTGTGATTTATGTGCCCAAATTTGGAAGTAATAACATTCGTTTTTTGTCTCTCCTGAAAAATTTATAATTTTGCATTTGCGTCATTGTTTTACCGGAACAGCGATATAGAAAAAGAAATTCTCACCAAGTTTGAGCTCTTAATATTAATTTTAAGTACTTACTATTTAAATTTAAACTTTTACCATTTAAAATGCATTTAACTTTTTTTTATTTTTTAAATTTCTAATGCTTACCCACCTTTTACAATAATACAAATCGGTTTGATGGACCTCGTGGGAAATTTCATGCTCTTCGAAATTGCTTTTGTGTTTTTTTTGTGTAACTCGCACTGGTTCACCAGTAGAAGTCGTCAAAGTAGAGTTTGTGAAAACAAAATATTTTTTTCCATTTTTTCGAGCACACCGTCAAAAGTGAGGAGATAAAAGGGCTGGCTGATAAAAAAAAATTATCCGACCAATATTTAATGAATTTACAGCCATTTTTATACCTGAAAACGTAAAAAATTGATAAATAATAACTCATAATGTTATTTAGATTAATTTTTTTCTATTGATTACCATTATGTTTCCCTACACTAAGAACTTTTTTAGAATTATTATGATTTCTTACTCATAATGAATATAATTTCGAAGAGCGTGAAATTTCTCACAAGGTCCGATTTGCAATATTGCAAAAGGTGGATCAGCATTAGAAATTTTAAAAAAAATATATTTTTTTACATGCATTTTAAATGGTAAATACTTAAAATTGACATTAAGAGCTCAAACCTGATGAGAATTTCTTTTTCTATGTGTAGATAGTTATTTTGCTTGAACACCGAAAAAAAAAAATTTACGGAAATGAATCACCCTAATGGTCAAGTGAAAAATCCTACCTATGCATTAAAATTAATATTTAATTTATTAAATTAAATAAAAATGCGTCACCATATACATATAATTATTTACACAAGCACGGTTTTCCTTGTTTTTGGCAGACTCCTCTGTACATTTCAAAATATGCTAAATATGTACAATAAAAGTTAGCTATATACACTATTTCACTTAACACAAGAATGAGTAATAACGAGACCCTAAGAGGTCCTGAGGATACACATTGTTTAATAGGACAATTGCAGGAGGCTAGCTATACAAGGTCCTGGTGTGTATGAGTAGGCCCTCGCAAAAATATTTGATGTTGGAATACGTGTGTTTCAGATTATTTCAGACGAATATTTTGCGAGGTATCCAAACTACTCCGTAGCTACGAGGTTCGTGTCCAATCTACCGAGGATATGTGAGGTTCTGATAATGGTAATGACGTCGTATCTGTGTAAGAAAATTAATACGCCGTTAAATAATGTTCTGCGGTCTTTTACACATTAAAGATATTCAGATTTGTTTGACACAGACTATATTTTTTTAAATACACATGTGTGAAATATATACGGCAGGCAGATCTCTGACTTCGTCTTATAACTCTTATTCCATAAACCCTAGAATTTCGTTTAAACATATTCATCAAATATATTAAAAAAATAGTTTTTCCAACTTTTGATTTCTACCTAAAAAATATATTTTTGTACCCTTCTCTTAAAATAAATCAGATGTTAGTACATTAATTTTGACATTTACCTTTAAAAATTACTGACTGACTGACTGAATATTTTAGATTTATGCGACTTCGACAGATGTATAGTGGATATGCTGTACTTTGTTTATTTTAATTCGTAGGTATCTCTCATGGTTATTAATAATTGAATAAAACAAGGTAGGTAATGTTATATTAGTTTTTTATTAAACAAAAAATACAAATTATTTTGAGAGAAAAGGAAAAAAAAATAAAAATAAAGAGCATTCGGAAATGAGGCACTTAAACTTTACATTTTTTTAAAAATAGTTTTAAATTACTATCGCCTACATAAGGGTCTATTATGTAACAATTCCTTTATATTTAACGGCCTTTAAAAATATTGACGGCCTATAAAAATATGTTCGTATTCGTTAATTTACTTCTGTCATTATTTAAACAGATTTCTTTAAGATAATCCTGTAATGTATTTTAAAGATCCGTTTAAATAATGACAGAAGTAAAGAAGAAAATATTTTTAAAGGCCGTTAAATATAAAGGAATTGTTACAGAATAGACCCCATACACTGTTATTAAATTACTGCGCTACACAAAGTTTGTATTTTATCTCGTATCTCATTTAATTTTAAATTTAATATTTTGTGAATAGTGAATATAAAAATTTTATAATTTAAAATTATTATTCGAATCGAGGTAAAATACATGTAACTATGCAAATATTTTAGATTTACAAAATAGTGCCATTTTGCATCAGACAAATTGTATAGTTTAGCCTAACGTAAACTGCGCTTCGCATATTGTCATTAGAAAAAAGATAAAAAAGTATTTTATTAAAATATATGGGGCTTTCATATAGATTTCATATTTCAAAAAATATTCTCAAAGACGTTTTAAAAATAAGGCTATTTTCCCTTGCAAATGAAATATAAATAGTAACTGAGTAAATATATTTTTGAAAGCTTAAAATTTCAACACAAATTAATTTTTCTAAGAAATTAAAAATAAACAAAATTTCCATATGGGCAAACTAATTATTTCACACTGTTTAATTTTATTTATTATAATACTGCATTGTCTCTCTTAATTTTATTATAAATATAGTCTTTAATATTCCTCCAAGGTCTATAAGAAAGTAGGTTTCCTTCTCCAGAAAAAAATCTGTTTATATCGCTTTTTTGGGGAACGTTTTTCATAAATATAAACCTCTGGAAGAAAGTTTCTGTTAAATCGCGCTCTTTTTTAGACCACGGCTTTTTAATTAGTCTTTTCTGTTCCCTATCATTCGATATTCCCCTTTTTATTATATTTCGTTTTTTATTTTTAGTTTTTTCAGGTTTTCCATTCGTAATGATTTCGTTTTCCTCATTTCCTGCAACTGCGATATCATCAAATTGTTCGTCATGAACTAAATATGAAGGACCTGCTTCATTTAAGTCGACGTTAATTTGCGAAAAATCTTCAAAAGAATCTATTTAATCGTTTTCACTCTCGGAGTTTTCGTCTTCACCTTCATCTTCAAAAGTTATTTCATCTAAATTTTTTCCTTTCATTTCACCTAATTTTGCTTTTTCCAAATTTAGCAACAATTTGTTAATTTTTGATAGCTGAAGAGTTTCGTCAGCTAAACGATAATACTCCCTGTGCACTCGAATGTCATGGCCCATAAATTTGGCAAGATTATCAAGTTCGTGTTCTCTTAAATTTAATAGTTGAGCCATAACAGCTACATGTTTTCTTAATTTTGTGGAAGTTAGTGTACTAACATTAACACAACCTGAAGCTTTTGTCCATTTTTGAATTATTTTGTGGGTAGGATAATGACCACTAACATTTGATAGTGATGGAAATAAGTAAGGGTTAGACTTTACCACTCCACATTCTTCACGTCTGGTGTTTATTAGATTAAGGATAGATTGCAATTTTTCGGTTAAGAGAACAGGCACACCGCGGCCTATCTTTCCTTTTATTTCTAATCTAATTAGGGATTGACTTAATTGTTTTTCTGATTCCGTTAAAATTTGAAAAATATCAGAATTTGGGTCACATTTTAAAGCCGATTCGTAATCTTTAAGAAGCATATATTGTACTTCACCAACGCGTCTTCTATTTAAAATTATTGTCATGACAAGACTAATTTCAACTAAATTTTTAAAAGCCAAAATATTAGGGCCTCCTTCTAGATTGTCCTGTTCAATAATAATCTGTTTATTTAAATATTTATTCAACTTTTGAATGTCTCTAGTCAAAGGTACAGTTTTTCTTTTATTCCATTTTACTTCAGCTAATGTTCTATGAGCATGAGACGAAACCTCCGTAAACCATTTTGCTTCCATAACGCATAAAAATGCTTCCAATTCGGGAATGTATTCTCTAAGAATTTCGTCCTGAAGGTAGTCCCCTTTCAACATTGTAGCACATTTCCTAACAGATATTCCCACCTTTAAGGCATAAGACGGTTTATTAAAAAGATTAGTTTCGTTATTAAATTCAGCTTCTTTAAAAACGCTTTGTTTTAATAACTGATAATTGGAAGCTCTTAATAGTTGGCTTAATTTAGTTACATTCGGATTTAGTTCTTTAGCTTTTAATACAAGCCTTCCCAATTCTCTGCACCGGTCGATAATGGTTCTGTAGTATCTTCGGTCATGTCCTAATCGGTTGAACTCTGTTTCGCCATATCTAAGAATTGTTTGATCTTGTCTCAGTACTAGAAATATTTGATCATGCAACATTTGTCCCAAAATTTTTTCTTTAAAGTTTTTTGACACTTGTGGACCTACTGGTAAAAGCAAGAAATTTGTTGATCTAATAGACCGGTTCCGTTTCATACTCAAACAGTTATTAAATTTACATCGTCTTTGATGAATAGCTAAATATTTCTTTGAAAACAACTGAAAACAAAATTGGCACGGTATATAATCTTTTGTTGTTTTATAAGTATGTAGTCCGGGTCTTCTTTAAGTAACTATTTCACCTTCACCGCCCGTGATAACTTGGGTATTCTGTTTAAAAACGGCCTTGTTTTGAAGATCCGCTATTAAAATATTTCTTTGACTAGAATTTTTCTCAAGGCTTAGAATTCTTGCTACCTCAACCTCATTTGAGTGTTTCCTGTACCAATGTTTAGGAAGTTGAGTAAATGCCTTACTGCAGAAGAGACATACAAATCTTTTGTCCCATTTTCTCTTCTCGTTTCCAGTCCATGATATCTTACTTATTTTTAAATCGTTGTTTTCTATTTCACATGACCCTTGTTTCGATGCTCTTCTTTGTTTTTCTAGATTTTTACATTCCTTGTTCACTTCACCATTGTTGAAATTATATCGTTTTCTTTTCTTTTTATTTTCTTTTTCATTTTCATCATTGATTGTAGTTAATGACCCTTCAATCAGGGTTTTCGGCAATTTTGCCAATTTTTCATTTCTATTTTTGGATACATTTTTGTTGCAACTGTAAAGAATCTTTTGTTTTTCATTTTCTTTTTTTTTTCTTGATATTTTTTAACATAATTTTTGTGTTTAACCGTATTTACATTTTCAATGAGTTTTATCGCATTGTCCGAGATTTCTTGTTCAGAAGATAAATTTGATGTTGACAGAACATATTCATCACTGGTAGCATTGTACGAATAGGGATCAGACTTGTCGTCAGAAAAATTACTTTGACGTTCTGTATTTTTTTCAGAACTATTATTAGCAGATTCGTTGATTTTAAAAACGTCAGCAGTCTTTAAATCTGTATAAATCAGTTGTGGTGAAGAAAATTGTCATAATTTTCTGAATCTTTTATGATGATTTCTGATATTATATTGATATTTGGGCATTTCTTTATTTCGACATTTAGTTGTACCGGGGACAACGATTAATTGTATGCATTGAAAAACTCTGTACTGCCTATATCAACATCTAGAGAATTTTGTGTAGATGTCAATATATCAGACTCACTTACGTGAAAGTTTTCAACATAATTTGTGTCAGATTGTGGTATTGGCTTACGACTGAAACTGGTTTGGAGAATTTTCGAATTATTTGTGTCTAAAACTAAATAATTTGGCTTTGAGTTTAACTGCATGTTAAATGTATTTACTTGAATTTTATTATGATTGTTAGTTGGATTTATATTTATCTCCAAAGGATTTTCACTAACTGTTAACATATTTAATTCACATTGCTCAACTCGTTTGACAGTATTATTGGAGATATTTTTGCTACTTGTATCAGATAATAATGCGTTTTCAGTAGAATTTAATAAATTTAAATTAAGTGATGCTGAAGAATAAAAATTATTGACAATTTCAGAGTCATTTATAGTTCTGTTCACCTAATTTCAAGAGTGTATGCATTTCGCCTGAAGAAACTTGCTCACTTGGATTTTCTGGGTTATGTTGGTGAACTGATTGGTCAGTGTCCTGTGTTGAGGTACCTTGTAATGATTGGCATAAACTGTTATTGTCGTGAAGAACTATTTTTTTTTGGAATTTCTGTTTTAATTTTGTCGAGGCTTGTATTGCAAGACTTTCGCCAACACCTGTAAGTAAGAAAAAATTAAAAAACTAATAATTTCGATGACATCATATATCATATCATGTCCTATCATATCATGTAATATCATATCATGTCATGTCATATCATGTCATATCATATCATATCATATCATATCATATCATATCATATATCATATCATATCATATCATATCATATCATATCATATCATATCATATCATATCATATCATATCAATCATATCATATCATAATCATATCATAATCATATCATATCATATCATAGCTACTCATCATAAGTAAATAATGACGTATTTTTGGATTTTTCACATTTTAGAAGGAAGGAATATGGGGAGTAACGTAAAAATAAAACAAATAAAAAATATAAAAATAAATGAAAATAAATAAAAATAAATAAAAATAAATAAATATAAATAAAAATAAATAAAAATAAATAAAAATAAATAAAAATAAATAAAAATAAATAAAAATAAATAAAAATAAATAAAAATAAATAAAAATAATTAAAAATAAATAAAAATAAATAAAAATAAATAAAAATAAATAAAAATAAATAAGAATATGGTAAAAATTATTAAAAATTATTAAAAATTATTAAAAATTATTAAAAATTATTAAAAATTATTAAAAATTATTAAAAATTATTAAAAATTATTAAAAATTATTAAAAATTATTTAAAATTATTAAAAATTATTAAAAATTATTAAAAATTATTAAAAATTATTAAAAATTATTAAAAATTATTAAAAATTATTAAAAATTATTAAAAATTATTAAAAATTATTAAAAATTATTAAAAATTATTAAAAATTATTAAAAATTATTAAAAATTATTAAAAATTATTAAAAATTATTAAAAATTATTAAAAATTATTAAAAATTATTAAAAATTATTGAAAATTATTAAAAATAATAAAAATTAATAATCATTAATTTTTTAAATTATAAACGCGTGCAAAGCCGCGGGCAAAAGCTAGTTATTTTTTAAAATAGTTTATTCACATAGTTTATGCAATAGGTTTCAGCGCTTGATTTATTCATAGAAATATAATATAGTTCTTGGTGTTAAAAATTTTCGCTCTAAGAAAAAAAGAAAAAGTGGGTATTTGTCGATATCACTGAGAAAGAAATAGGTTAAAATAATAAAAAATTCCAAATATTTGAAGTGAAAAGTATTTTTGTTGTTTTCACCAAGAATTATTGTTATGTTCGATACATTCAAAATCTAGTACTTAATGAACTCTCCGATTATTTATAAACCAGCTTGAAGACAACAAAGTTTGCACAAAACTTATATCATCAATTTTTAAGCCAATAAGCTCTAAACAAACTAGTTTACATACTCATTGAACGTTTATAGAAATCATCGAAATAAATAAATAAAAAAAAAACTTTCAATATTCTAAAGTCATAAAATACTTTTGAGTATAATATTGTTCTGTTATGTTATGTTATGTTGAGAATGGGGTGTTAATACACTGCGACCTAAAAGATCTATTGTGCCCCCTTCTGTCGCCACTGCACTAAGGAAATGTCTCAGTGCCTATAGCGGCCCTTTCAATCCTATTTTCTCAAGAAAGTGTAGGATTTGAAGTGGCTTCAAGTTAGGTAAATATCCCTCTTTTATTTGGTATCCTCCTAGTTATAGTGCTCTTGGATTCTGGAGTGCTACACATTCAGTTAGGATGTGAATGGAGGTTTCGTCCTCCTCCTCACAGAATCTGCACTCACTATCCTCTATTACTCTCAGTTTACTTAGGTGTCCTTTTAGTCGGCAGTGCCCGGTAAGGATCCCTGTTACAATACGTAGCCTGTTCTTGCTCAGGCAGATGCAGGCTTCCGATCTTTTTTGGTTATATTCACCCAGAAGTATCTTGGCCTGTCTCAGCCCCAAGAGATTGTTCCAATTATCGGTTCTTTTACTACGCAATTCTTTTTTAATCTCTCCTAATATTATGTTACTGCTGATACCGCAGAACGGCTCAGGTCCTACAAAGGGTGTTTGAGTCCCTTTCCTTGCAAGACTATCTGCAATCTCGTTACCCTGTAGCCCGCTATGTCCCGGGACCCAAGTGAGAGTAACTCTATTTTTCTCGCCTAGCTCATTCAATTGTTCTAGTCATCTCCAGACCATTTTTGAGCTGATTACGTAAGAACTCAGCGCTTTGATGGCTGAGACATGATGATAATAATCTCTTGTCTATGATAGTTTCTCTCGATGTTAAACTGGATACACTTCTCGATGGCGTGAATTTCCGCTTGGAAGATGCTTGGGTATTTTCCCAAGCTTTCGGAGTGCTTGGTTCTCGGCCCATACACTCTTATTCCAGTTCCTTCTATGGTTTTGGAACCGTCCGTATACCACTGAATAGCACATCTTTCGGTTGCAAGCGCGATGGATTCTTGGCTCCATTCTTTCTTGCAGCCCAGCTCTGTGGTTTTGAAGTTTTTCACAAAACTGTACTTCTTTTGCATTTCATCCTGGGGCATGTCCTAGGTATCTTTAGTCCTGTTAAAAGAGCGGTATGCTTTTACGAAATTTACGTATCCCTTTTTCACGATAATATTTTCTATAGCAATAGTTTTTTTTATAATTAACAGTATTTATGACTGAAAAATTTAAATGTATTGAAATATACTAAAAAATTTGAAATGGTACGTACCTTTTTTGTAAGTAAGTTGTATCTTCCAATTTTGATTGTGCAT